AACAGCCAGATCATATCTCAGAAAGTGCAGGCACTTGTATAAAAAAATTGAAGGGAGGGAAAAGCATGTTTTATTGCTCCTCTGCCTTCCCTCCCATCTATTCTAATTAAACAGGTACAGAAGGCACTCTGTGATACCAGCTAGCCTGCTTCACAGTCCCCAAGGCAGCATCAATACTGTTTGTATAGCTGGTTCAGAAAAACTTAACAAGGTTATGTGTAGTGACAGTTCACACACCCTGAGACTCTTACAAACTGAGCTGCTTTTGCTATGTCATGCTTTATATAATTTTTCCCCTCCAGTTAAATACTCTGATCTCTTCACAATTAAATTAGGTGCAGTTTTGCAAGCTTTATTAGCTCTCTCAGTGTCTTTTATTCCTTTCTATTACTCCTTATATATTAATAAGCTGGTAACACATTAACAACCCAACTTGGGAATTGGGCTAAAGAGATTGATGCGTCTTTAAATTTAGCTACTCCTTTTCCCAGAATATTATCACTACAAAAAACCCCAAGGTTTTATTAGCTATTAACTGCCGGCCCAAGATCTTGCAAGACAAAAATAATATAATAAACCTTCTATTCAGAGCAGGTATAACAACAGCACTGGCAAAAGATTAAAATATAAAATGCTACTTCAGCAGCTTGGTTATATCTAAACACTGTATGTGTTTGAAAGCAATACATCAGAATACAGGCAGAGCCAAGTACAATCACTCTTAAGAAGACAAGGCAATTTTAAGTCAAACAGAAGCATGAAAATAAAAAATGAATTTGTTTTGCACTACCTTTTCTGTCATGGCATAATGACTTCCCCACATAATTATTATCTCTATTAATAAAACAAAACCAAAATGTCTACACAAACATCCACAAAGATGCCCCAAACCCTTGCCTTAATGTATTTTTCAAATTATTTTACCCAGAACAAACAGAACTAAATGACACTAATGAAAAGAAGAAAAGTCAGTCAGATGGCGAGCAAATAGTACCAGACCTCACAGATGACACATTTTCATATGAGACAAGAATGAACACTGGAAGCAGATGGAACATTTGAAGCCAAACAGCAGTGCAAAATCACTGTACAGAGAAGCTTTAGGAAAAACAAAATTGCAGCATGTCACAAAGGGCTTTTTCCCCTCATTTGTTGGTTTAACTACCTTTAGACTAAACTCATTTTACAGAAGTTTGTTTGGGATCCCAGCACTACAGTTCAGCACTTCCTTAGAAAGATCACACACCCTGGTTTATTCCCTATTTTTTCACCTGCTATACCTCTCTCCAACTGAAGTTTATTGTTGATTTTCTGGAGTTCATGAGAAGCATTAACAATAACTCACTACCTAGCACATAGGGGACTGTGTCTTCTTGCTGATCATTTCATCCTCTTCATACAGCTAATTAAAAAGGAGCACATAATAACTCAAGAGAATGTCCAGTGTTCCCCAAATAGAAGCAGTATCTGTAGGAATATATGACTGCAAATGCAAGTCAATACTAGCAAGAGAAAGGGATGGACAACACCTTTGCATTAATTTTGGCAAGCAAATTAATTTATTTTCAGGTTTTGCTTAGTATTGTGAACATAACTTCTAATTGGTACTGCAAACCTCTACTAAAAGTATCATCAACAGCTGGCTCCTCTTTTAAGTTCATACCTGAATTTATGTAAATAAAATCAATCATTCAATTTATGCCACATTTCCCCTAGAAATTAAAGTCTCAATTGTATTTAATAAGGTGCTATAGATTAAGCTTTATAAAAATTATTCTACTGTTTAGCTCAGTATGAACGGCATTATTAAAAAGTTACACTGACGCCACTACTTGATTGAAAACACTATTTCAATTAGAGAAATTTCAATTAGAGGTAAGATACACAAAAGCTATAGCTTTTTCCCTTTGCATAGTTTTTCAAATCCAAATATTTGCATCTTCCTTCTGTTTAAATGCTCTTCAGGATTATGGTCAGATTTCTCTGAATATTTTAATACTGCATTCCTCAGTAGAAGCCTAACTCTGATAGAGAACTTCAAGTGCCTCTATAATGCTTATACACATGTGCAACAGCCTGTATATGTACACAAGCATAATGCCATCAATGACAAGAAGAGATTCATCGTAATTATGCATTTAAAGTAATCTTCTCTATCTCACTAATTTTATTATTTCGGAAATCAGTGCTTTGAGATGGTGATGATTTACAGCTTTGCACAATGATGAACAAAATGGTGGTGGTAAGCTCCACATTAAGCCCTGCCAACTAAGCAACACCTTCCAAACAATCCCCTTCAACATTCATAGACAGTAGCTCACTGAATGTCAGGGGAATCCCTAGTTTCAAAAGGCTATAATCAGTAAATAAGAACACCAGCTGAAATATACGTGAAAGTGTTGCCATAAAGGATAAGACATAGTTAGAGATGAACGCCCCTCAGAAATCATCCCCTCTCCCTACAACATATGTAGTAAAGTTCTGCATTGCTCTTGGCATGAGCCTGTGTTGCCTTCCAGCTTCAAAAGTCTGTATACATTGTTAGCAAGAAATTGAGCTTTAAGTAATAAATCTTAAAGATTATTACTGTGCCTTCGCAGGAAAAGAGAAAAATGCTTATGTAACAATGGCTATAAATAGAATGCAAAGGCTGGATTTGCAGATTCAGCAGACAGTGTTTGATTTCACAGAAATTATATATAGATATTACAAGTATTATGATTTAAAGAAGTTAAATAAGTTCTTCAAATTGTTCAAAAACATGACGGGGATGAATTATCTTTTATAAAATCTTTATTTTTTTTTCCCTTTTTTTTCTTTTCTAAAATCCATACCACAACTATTCCAGCACGGGAATGAGTATTTCTTCTTGGCCTAACTTTCCTTAGTATATTCCCTTGTGACAAAGGTAATGGGTCACATGGGAATTACATAGTTCTAAATTCCTCAGTTTTAGCTGCATACAAAAGAGGATTTAAATCACAGAAAGCAATTTTTAAGCTTATGTACTTGGATACTTGCTTTAATTTTCAAACCTTCAAAGATCTAAGAGCAAAATCCAAGAGGTTTCACGGTATAATAATTCTAGCTTCTGAGCTCTTGGTAATGGCCAAAAATGGTGTGGCTTCACCTAGTAAGGATGGGAGGGAGAAGAGATGCAAGAAAGGGAAAGTATATGGGAACTTATCCAAGGCTTTTGGTTTGCTTTTGGTTTGTGCTGAATTTCATTCAAAAGAACAATCAGTACTATATATTGTTTATAACCCTCATATAGCTATAGTAACTTTTTAGTCACGCACCAGGACTATAACTGCAAAGGATCATTATTTTTCATAAACAATTAGATTATTTAACTGTGTAAAAATTTCAAAGGAATTAGGAAGAAGTATATTCTTAAATTTTATTTCCATTTAAAAGACAACTTTTTTTTTCTTAGGTTTATCTAGCAATGACAGAACTCAGAATAGAATATATTCTTCTATTTAGGACAAAAGGGAGTTGTTGCAAAATGAAACAACCCTGATTTGACATAGTGCAGTTTATATATATAGCACAGCTTTTTGGATCATTTTTTCATTTCTGTCTTTCAAAAATCTCAGTAAGACTTTGTAAGAAATACTCCTGTTATCTTCCATAGTAACTGTCAATTTTTAAAAATAACTCAAAATTCAATCATAATCTTCCACCTTCACAATTACATTACTGTTACAATTAGTTTATTGAATTCCTCAAATTCCTCAGCTTGGAACTACAAATACCTTCTGAGGCCAGAATTCATGTCAAGCAGCAAGAGACTGTACTGTGTAGATCTTATTTACACACATGCACACTCACATGAACAGCTTCCTCTTTTAACAAAGTCTTTAACTAAAAGGAGCATTTCTCCCAGTTGATTACTTGATCTCCCGTAATCTCATGTGCCCATAAGGAAATAAGGCATATATGCTTTACTGTCACAATAGAAACTTTGCAAAATACCACCTCATTATTAAGTGTGTAACTATGAAAAAGAGCACAAGCAAAGTCTTACAGGTTCCAAAAGCAGGCATTTAAAGCCAAATGTTAAAACCCTTGCATCTTGACTATTACAAGGTTTCAGTTCTTCGCATTTATAAATTATCTTTTAATTCTGTTTGGTACTACACGAAAGAATGCAGTTTTCAACTATACACAGTATAATTTACATAGATGGCACAAAGGCAAAAAAATTGAGGTTAGTCAGTTAATCCTAACACCTCTAATACATCATTGCAAACAAAACCAGACGTTTCAAAATAGTTAGCATTTCTTAGGATAAGATGGACAAAAACTATGCTTTCATTTGCATAGTTCACTTCTACATTATTCTGGTGGTGCCTAACACCCACCCTCACCCTCTACATGCTACGAGGCTGTCTCTAGACCTTTCAGATCTATTCTGGAAGGTTTTTTGAATCTGTATGTTCATGGCTGGATTTTTTTTATTTATTTCCCAACACCAATAAAAGCAATAATTTTTCAGTGAAGTTCAGCCCCACACTTTTTTTCTCATTATTTAGATGCCTAAACATTCTCCCCAGTGGTGTCTACATAATGTTTTAGGGAAACCAACAAAGTAAACTCCATCAGTCAATGTAAGTGTATGCAAAACTTGTAACAACTCATCTCATCAAGAAGAAATATGTCTGGAGAGATATAAAAAATTAAAGTTACAGATTTAACACACATACACACCCACAAAAGAGGGAACAGAAACTGTTTTGCAATATTATCTATAGCAGGCATTATGAAGCTTCCAGTGGAACACAAAACTATTATAAAGCTGATATAAAGAATCACCAACACTACCAATAAGATCAGAGATGCGCGATTTATGAAAATAATTTTGAGAGTGCATATAGACTTCTATGCAAATATTACTAGATATTTATGTTGACTGCACAGCTATGTACTCAATAAATCTAAGAAATAATATTCAACATGACAATATTAGTCATTAGATATCAATAATAATTACTTACTATTAAGAGCCATGATATTGTCTGTTCCTGGATGATGGAAGTTTATTCCCATACGCCCTGCAATGTAAATAAAAGCTATTTTCAATGTTTTTCTTTCAAAAATGAATTAAATCCATTATTATGAAAAATTGCTAGAAGGGATGAACAGTCAGGATAGCTCAATCTTCCAGCTACTGAAGACAACTTTCCAAGAATACACATTTACAATATTTAACATCGTAGTACCTTTATTATTATGTACTTAAAATACTGAAAAATCACAAAATAAACTATGAAAATTATTATTTTTTTAATACAACCCTTTGCTTGTACTAGGAAAGTATTATGCTTACCCTTTCAAAACAAGGCATCAAAGTTCAACCTTGCTGCAGTTATGCCATTTATAGTACGCTTCAAATAACAAATACAGCATTTCAAGAACTCCTCTTAATTGGTAAAAATAAATCACTGTTTTCCATACTACCTGTGACACCAGGAGCTCCCGAGTTAATGGATCGCTGGAGACAGAATGCTTACCCTGGTTTTGTATTACTTCTCTAAGAATCTGCTATTGCTTACTATTTGAGATAAAACACTGGATTGGAGGGACCATTGTTATGGAATGCATTCATATGCACTCTGAAAAATACTGGTTCTTGACCCATAATACAGGACTACCATATACAGAAGGTCCACCATGACATCCAAATAAACTGTGCTGGTGCCAGTTTCCAGGAAGCTGGAGAGATGCACAATAGTACCTATTTTCTCAGGTGAGAGCTAACAATTGAAAGGATGGCTTAACAAGATCTCTGTTGCCATCAGGAACTGGAAGTAGGAACAAACTCACATGTGGTTATTTTGCTTCAAAGAAGATGTAGCCCCCAGAAATCTACTTTAACCCTCAAGCCAAGAAATGAGCCAACTCTATTAACTGTTCAGATTAGTTTTAGATACTATTTAACTGAGCTGAATTATTAAAAACTTAACCTAAAGAAACTTTGTAACAGGACTTGAAGTAAACTACCCCCCACCTCCCTGAAACAATTTGATAGCTGTGTTAGTCCTTGTTTAGAAAAATATATAGAAGGATAATTATAACCACATAAAAATCATTTCAATTAAGTAGCGTAAGTAACTTAAGTTACTTACAAGCGTTGTAATCCATTTCATATGCTGTCGAACTCTAAATTTGTGGCTAATTTGGGAGCTAAGGAGCAGGCAGTTTACATTTCCTTACAACACTGGCACTCAAACATGGGACCTCAAGACCCATAAACTATACTGAAGAACCAATATATGTGTTAAGTTCCTGTACTTCTGCAAAACTCAGTTTTAGCAAATAAGCTTTTGGAAAGCAGAACTAAAGCCAGTCTTCTCAAATTAGTTCCTACCAGTAAGTTAAAGCCTTCTATTTCCAGTCACAGAGACTGCTGTGCTGCAGTTATTCTTCTGAACAAATGCAACATGAAGTTTCAGTACAATTATGGAACGAAGTCACGAGCAGTTTTAGAAAAACAAATATATTTTTTCTTCACATAGTAATTTTCTCATTCTTTTCGAAAAAAGTGCCACCACAATAAGACTATGAAGCAAACAGCACCTCCAGAAAGAAGTGGAGGCAGAAGGAAGGTAAATAAACCCTCAATTTTTAGTTTCCAATTCCTTGAAAAAAGCTTTTAAAAGACATCTTCATTAACTAATGATATAATTCTCCTATACATACTTTCACATTAATCTGGCACTGCAGAAACATTAAAATTGCTATTATTTCAGTTTATACAAGCTTGTGCTAAAATATTAGCAAAATCTTGCCAGATGGACATTAATTCCCTTTTCCTTAATAGCATATTAATAAGCATAAGGTTAGAGGTATTACTTGTAAAGAGAAAAGGTATATGTAATAATCTATACTTGTAAACTAATACTTGTAATAGGAAAAAAAGGAACTGCTATGAAAAAAAGAGTAACATTTGAATGCCTGTTTGGATGGGCTCTTCTGTTTTCCTTTGCTGAAGCTGAAATTCTGCTGTTTGACCAGCTTCAGAAATAGAATCGTATCTGTGACATCTGGGTTTGTTTTTTATCTCCCTCCAGGCTGTCACTGGACCAGGTGCTGCTTGTGTGACATTTTGTCACCTGCCCTTAGCCTGCTATTTTTAAACAGTTCTTGTCAGCTATCTTTTAAGAGGAGCAGAAAATACAGAGCAGCACAAGCAGAAAGCCATATTGTCACACTGAGCTAAGCAACAGTATGGGATTATTCTGTGCATCTTCAGAGGTTCCCCAATGTGATTATATAGAAACAAATTAATGGAATGCTTTCAAAACACACCTGCATTAAAAGCATTCAAAACAGACTGGTAATGCACCAATCATTAGACATTTAGTTACCAATAATTATATAGCCTTTCATATTAGCTACAACATTTGAACATCTTGCTGTTTGAAGCAAATTCTTCCATTGAAAAGAAAAAGAGGCCATATGCAGATTACAAAACTGCATAATTATCTAAGGAGCAACAAGAGAGCACAAGAAGGAAATTGTGAATTTATTTAGAGTTGCAATGTAAAATTGTGCAATGTAAGAATATGAACTTTCAAGGACATACTTGGGTTAAAAACATAAATTACTATCAGAAAACAATTTTAAGAAATGCACATGTATGTTACCTGGGCCTTTACAAGTCTATGAAAGCACATATTTCTAATTATAGTTTTAAAATGGAAACTCTGCATAAAATTTCTGCTTTTTAAGTATCTTAAACACAATAAGCAGAAACACACAGAGTTAGAACACAGAAATTACGGACTCCAGCACTTCACTGAAGTCACAAATAGGAACCCTTCCAGTAACAGCATCCCAGTACCTGTATTCAATGTACATCTGCCATTTTCAGTTTGCTGTCTTGGTTTCATAACTACCTACTGAGTATATTTTCAATTATGTGCTTTGACAACACACACATATATTACTGCAGTTGGCCTGCAATAACCATCAGCTCTTTTACTTACGTCTTCTCAATTCCTAATTAAAAAAAAAAAAAAAATTAATCCCGTTGTATAATTCTTTTTATTTAAACATTTCAGAATATAAATAAGAGCTTAATTCTTGTATAGACCAAGCTGCTCTGATCATATGTCATCAAATTCCTTAAATTCTCTCTCATAGCAGCATTTGGAGAGAGTTTTCTGGCTGGACTGCCTAAGTGCTCTGCTGCATGTCCAATATCATGCTTGTCATGGCAAAGAGCCCAATTACTTCTTAGGGCACATGTCAAGCATGTGCATCTTCTTTTCTGTATTATACTGGAAATAAAATTATGTTAAATGGAATTTAACTTCACCTCATTCATTGTAGAAGAGAGTAACGATTTTGAAACAATTCTGAAATCTTTCCAATAACTTAATGAGGTACGCCCTTCCAACATAAGAATCTCTTTATTACATCTTTTACAAATAAATAACCTTATTTCTTTTAATTGTCTAGATAATTTCAAATTACATGAACACTTCTGATAAAGAATGTTACTCCAGAAACAAACCTGGATATCAGCACACTTTTACCATTATTGCAGTTTCTTGACAATGTCTAGTGCCAGGCTTGTCTATAGTGGTCCCCTTAATCTCAACTCTAAAATCCACTACTTTTAGCAGATCTTGAACCTTATGTGCACAATCTGTTTACAACTAAGTGTAAAACCTATCTTTGACTTCATCTTTCTATATACGTGCTGGTATTATCATTATTTTCTCATGCCTGAAACACTAATGATGAATCAGTTCCAGATCTATAACTACTGTTTTTGCTTTCAGAGATTTCTCAATTAATTTTCTCTTTTTATTCATTTTCTCTTCTTAAGTGCTCTATGATTTGTTGAAATCAAAGTAGTGAAATCCTCATCAGCTCCTGGACATGAATGCACAATGAAGGATTTTTAAGATTACAGTTACCTATTCTCATCATTTTTATGGCACAATCAAGGTTCCAAGAAACAACGTTCCTTGGGTATATATTGAGTAAAACTTCTTGCACTGTTATACCTCATGCCTTTCACCAAGAAAGAGCACTCATACCAATTTGGCAATTGGTATTTGGCATGAGATTTGCTAGAAAATGTCCTGAACTTAGCGGGAATGAGAACTTCCTCTCACATAGTCCTTACGATCACTATTGATATTAATTAAGTTATGACTACAGACTCCAGTGGCAAGGTCAAATGAAACTGGCAACAGGACTAGATCTGCTATACTTCCTTAGCAGTAATACCTCCTTTATCATTCTTTTCTATTAAATTATTTCAAAGTCAGTGCCAACAAAATGCATTACAGAATAGAGGCAGTTATTTGGATGGATAGGTAGCATGTGCAGTAGCGCAGTTTAGACACAGAAAAGTGCAAAAATCCAAGCAAGACCAGTATTCCTGCAAACATCTGGAACAAGAAGATTATTTTGACCTGTACATGTTCAGGGGTCTAGTTTACAGCACAACCTAACACTTCCCCACACACCCACATAACCTAGCTCAACCGTGAGTCTTGTCTCCATGATTCACAACTGGCACAAGATTCACAAGCATGAAGCATGTGCGTGTATATGCATGGATATGTATATATAGGAATTTTGACCACTTTTACACAACTAGACCTCAGACCACTCTCTCTCCTATCCCCTCAAAAACAGACACCTGGAAGTGATGCTACATTATCTCAACATACATGCCCATACATGCTTTTCAAAACATTTGAAAAGCAAGAACTGTGTAAGCAAGTGTCTGCATAAAGAATTATAAAAATAAAAGGTAACTCCCTGAAGAACTTTGTTGGTTCCCTCCGCCACCCCGCTTATTTTTACGTCTATCTGCCATATGTTCATACCTATAATTTAAATACCTACTTGGGACTTACATATTTTTTACACATTACTATACTCAGCAGAACAAAAATACTATTGTTTGCCAGAAGGGAAATATGAAGAACTATTACTGTGTTTACACGTATGTATCTTCACTATGCAAGTACATATTGTGACAATGTGAACAGAAGTGTATAATTATCAACTGTGAATAATAGCTGAT